AGCTGATCTTATACCACTAAGTGTTACACACATCCATGCATATCCAAAACAATTACAGGATGTACCTGTTCGGGCTTGAGAGCTTATAACAGCACGAGGTGGAGGAGAGAGGTAAAAAAAGCCGAGGGTTTGGCCTAACGTATGGACAAACCATGTGATCGTGACCAGGCATCCAGGGCTAACATTTAATCTGCTTTGTTTCAAGTGGGAAATATGTGAAGATCAAATAAGTTCAAATCCAGGTCAAATATCCTTGAAAATCTTTGATTTATATAAGCAGGAAAATGAGGTTTAAAAGAAGTGATTATGAAAGGGTTACTAAAAACACAGCTGTACGCATACTCTTATATCTGAGGCTCTCCAAAGAAAAACTGTGTGACATCTATATTAACCTTTGGCTGTACACCAATGAAGGCCTGTAGTGAGCTGGAATGCGAGGCAGCCCCTTCCAAATTTTAACACAAGCCAGGTTACAGCTGCAAATGCCTGCAGCCCGTGCTCACTTTATAAAGTATTCCCCGAAGGAAATTTTTTAACTGTTATAGAATCTTTTTCTAATACCCTACAGTGTTAAAGGCTGTTATTAAAGGGCAAAGAGATGGTTCTCTATGCCAAACACTTGTCAACAAAAAGGATAGCCAGATGGTATGAAATAAAAGGAAACTTGGGGGCTCTTCAGTTTCTTGATTTACATTAACAAAAGCCACTTTCATGTGCTCCAAGAATGACTAATTCCCCCCCCCTTATTTTTTTGCCAGGATTAAACAATGTTGTTCATTTTATAATCAACCACGAGACAAATTAACAAATTGCATATCACTTGTGCCGACTCTCTTAAAAAACATCCTCAGCAAGTCTGTTTACCAAGGCAAGATTACCCATGTAAGAACAACTCAATTATTTTTAGAAGAGAGCCTCTAAGAAATCTAGAGGATGTTTACTCCTTAGCTGCTGTTTATAAACTTGAATTTCAACTTGTGCAAAAAATGCATTGCGTTTTTTCAGTTCCTAAAATGGATCCATTTGTAAACTGTGCTTTGGACAGGATCTGGAAGGAAATTCCAAATACGGAAATTACAGCGATAAATTTTATCAAATTAGCCAGTAATTAACTGACTAACTTAGACAACTGTGGCTACATTCTCTTTTAATGTACATGTAACTTCATTCTTGACACAAATCCATTCCCCAACCATCTTAGCACAGGTGTAAGCTAAGACAAAATGCAGCCTGCAAATTAACTGGTTATAAATCTAAATCTAATTAATTGTCGAGATTTTACAGTAACATTACATGCTTAGTACAAAGCTCCATGCAACACAGCCCTGAAACGGAGCACCTGTATTCTGGTTCCTCCCTACCAATACCCAGTATAAATTCTCTGGAACAAGTATACACAGTATCTCAATAGGAATCACTGGGGGGGGGAGGTCGTGTTGGGGACTTTTTACTACATAACCCAGTAAATCTTGCAGTGTAAACCTTATTATTCATATTCTCCTAGAAAATAAATAGACAAAGAGTATGAATAAAGCAAAAAAAGAAAAAAAAAAAAAAGTGGGTTTGTAGATTAGCATTTGAAAGCCTGGAATTAACATGTTTTGTTTATGGAAATTTAAAAGTATCATTTCTTTACTCACTTTTACTTCCTCCATTCTAAGATGAAGCTTTATTATGCTGCGACACTTCCTCATTGTGACAGCTCTAGTATAGTAATAAAAGCCTACCTGTGAAATGCAATGCTCACAGAGTATCTCTTACAAAAGTAGGACACAGTTTAGTACAGTCTACATTTAGGAATTCAGCTGTGCTTTAAAAGGGATCATTGTAGAAAGTCTCCAAAAAAATATCAGTTCTGCAACAGATCTTCTAATTCTCCCTGAATGTCATAGAAAACTGTATATATCAAAGCAGGTGTTGTATTTGACTATATACGGGAGTGAGTGGCTGGTCTAATTCATTAGAACGTACATAAACAAGCCTGTCTTTGTCCTATAAAGATGAAAGACCGATGACTATAATGGGATGAAAGGTGTGCATAGTGATGAAGAAAGCTATTATAGATCTGTGTCCTTTTTAAACTCGTCCTGGCATGCACGGCTGACAAGGGAACAAAACAGTACAGATAAACCTCCAAAATGTGCCTTCCTGGTAATAATTCCACCTGTCCTCCTTAAAACTGCTGGATTTTGCCTGTGCTCTTACTACTCATTGACCATGCTGACAGCAATTCAATAACATGATATTTTACATAAAGAACACTTCTGAATTTCTAAGCTGACTACAAAACCCAGCAGGTCGAAATGAATGAATATATCCACTACAGTCACCACATCGCATTGGGATGTCAATTATTGATTACGTAGCGCTTAGACAGGTAAAACCTGCTCTGTAAAATGTTCCCACGTTGAAACAGACACATCCAAAACATAATTTTTATTTTACAGTTCATGGATCGATTCCACTCCTATAAAACCTCCACGGGCTGCAAAGGTGACTTTGTTACAGAAGGAGCATGGGACAGGAGTGCTGCTGTTTCACTGATGCAAGTTGTGCAGTAAATAACTACATCCGTGGAGCAGAGCTTCCTCCCCAGGGCTAAACTCCCTTCAGTTAGATACTTACATGTTTCATAAAGGTTCTCTCCTCTATATCAAAACAGAAAGAGAAGTGTGAATTTCGCTATCATTATTTCAAGAGCCTTTGTCTTCTGTTTGGGACTCTCCCTGCACTCTGACTGTACATGGTGTAGGACCCAAGAACCACAGAGAACAATGTTAGCAAGATCACTCTTATCTCTAAAGTCAAATATTTGACTTCCATTGGTGCTTTTGGCTGCTCAAATATTTGATTTTAAATGTATCATTGCTGATCAGCTTAAGTATCTAGCAGCGATTAGACAAACACTGTAATTCCAAAAGGAAAGCACCAGCGCTCTCAAGGAGCACAACAGCCCCCAGGCCAGATGTAATTCAGAGCTTCCCACGGTGAAGCTGATGGTCGTTAATAAGGAGGTGCAGCTCATGCAAACTAGAGATCTCCCACAGCGTCCTGTGTCTCCCTATCATGCAAGAATTGTGCCGGGATGGCTACCGTGTCTAACAATTATTAACGTGTGTCACAGAGCCTTTACAGCTACTGGTCTTTTCAAGTTAGTTAAAGTGCTGGGATTAGAGAGGTGGTGATTTAGGTGGTGATTTAATCTTTGTTGCCTCTGTAGTTCTGGACAGTGGAAGCGTCCAGAACAGGGACATCCATAAAGGTGTCAATGGATTTACTGGCAATGGGGATGATCCCTAGTGGGTTGTATGCCAGAGATGGGCTCCTCTCGCTCTTTACATGCCCCTTTGTTTGGAACAAAGATTGAGTTGATCTTGTTTTGGAAATACTATTCAGATTCTCTCTTGAACTTGCAGGCACCCAATCTGTACACGTGGTGGTTTCAGAGCTGCACATGAGGAGGTCTAAAAATTGCTAGAGTGAACCAGGTCTATAATTATGTATTTAAAATAGAATGCTCATCCTGACAATGTTTTACTCAAATCCAGCCAAGTCAGTCCACATGGGTGTGCAATCTACAGCAAGAAAATGGAAATCAGATTGGGCCGTGGCATCCAATTAGAAAGGCCTAGCGAGCTGCATACAAAGCATGCCAACTTTGGTATCATTTGCATAAACCCATCCACATGTGCTTGTGAAAAGAGGCGAGTTAGCTGCATAAGCTGGGGTCAACAGAAAAAGCTGCAGGAGTAAATAAGGATTTACTGTGGAACCCCTCTCAAGCAATTAGGAAAACATGTGCAAGCAGCTCAGCCCCTTCGGCCAAAGGAACATGGTGCTGGGATGCTGCAGGGAACTATCCATCTAGGCAGCCCTGGTGACCGTGCATCCCAGATGGGTGCCATGCTGGGACCCACAGTCCTGCCTGGGTATCATGGCCTCCCTGGCTGTGCGGGATGCAGGACAGACCTGCTCAACTCCTACCTGCAAATCCAATTTCTGAGGTGCGGCAAGAAACTATAAAAGGAAGAAGACAACAAACTTAAGTGTGGTGGTGTGTGGGATGGAGAGCTTGTGGCTGTCCAAATGCTGTGATGGGGAGCCGGAGCCCTCTTCACGCTGGTGCCGTTTAACCAACACCTCCAAGGGCCGCTACCTGCCCTTCCTTGCCCAAGTGGGCTGCCACCCATCCAACCCAACGCGGTAAGAGCTCCCTGCCAGGGCCACCAGCCCCTTCCTTCCCCTTGGTGGCCAGGGCCCTGCTCCAGCCTCCCATAGTGCGGTTCCCCACTCGTCAGCCGGTGTCCAGCGGGCAGGCACTCACCCAAGTTGACGAAGCTCATGACCATGTCAGCCTCAGTGAGGAAGTTGCTGTCCTGCAGGCTGGCCAGGGGCGGCCCCTGGGTGCTGAAGATGGGCTTGTAGGGGTAAGAGAAGCCCTCGCCCTCCTCAGCGGCGGCCCCCGCAGCCCCCTCCTCCACGGACATGGCATTGTAAAGGTCCAGCATGAACATGGGGGCCGAGTTGTGCTTGCCGTGGAGGTGGGGCCGCGGCCGGTGCGGCAGGCCGAGGATGGAGAGGATCTCCCGCTGCATCTCGCGGCGCTCGGGGCCGCGCAGCCGCCGGTGGATGAAGCTGGAGTGCACCTCGTTGTCCACCGTGAAGTCGGCGAGGACGCAGCGCAGCCAGAGGGCGGGCGCGGCGGCGCCCAGCACCAGCAGCCAGGAGGCGGGCTGCCCGCGCCCCGCCGCCGGCATCGCGGCTCGGCGGCGGCTGCGGAGGGGCGGCGCGGGGGGCGCGGGGCTGCCCCGCCGCGGGACGCGCCCCACCAGCATGCGCGGAGCGGGCGCGGACGGACGGCGCGGCCCCGCGCTCACTGCGGCGGCCGGCAGCCCCCGCGGAGGCGGCGCAGCCCGCGCATGGCCCGGCGGCGGGGGCTGCCTAACGGCCCCGGCCCATGGACGGAGCGGCGGCGGCGGTCCGAAGCGCTTCCCCAGCGGCGGCGGCAGCGGGAGCGGTGCGCTGTGCCCGCGTCCCGCAAGCCGCGGCGGAGCCGTGTGAGCAGTGCTGCTCGGCGGAGAGGCAGCGGGAGGTTGTCTCTGGTGGGAGGAGCAGGCTGGAAAACCCAAGCGCTCTCGCTCGCCCGCTCCAAACCGCTTGGGAGAGAAAATCCGTGTAACTGCCTAGAGGAGGAACATCTGATCAGGTTGCTTTGCAGGATGTTTGTGGAGGCTGCTCCGGCTTGGGGGAGAGGCTGAGCCGGTCCCAAGTGCTTAAATTAACGCGAACGTAATTAAGGAGAAGACACCCCAGGAGGGAGGGTGGTTTATGTATAAGGAAGGGGCCCAAATTCCCAGAGGGTGGCGAGATGCGAGTCTGCCCTCAGTCTGCACGAGCAGGCAGGCTGCTTTCCTCCACTTCCACCTTATTTTGAATAAGTATAGATGGGGAGAGACTGCCCCGGACAAAACCAGCAGCACTGAATTATTTAGGCTGTGATGCTGATACATGAACGCAAGTAGGCACGTATGTCCGTGCGCGCAGAGCCCCGGGTCACTTTTTCCAGCTGGCAGCAAAGCGAGTGAATGCACGAAAAATGCGGGGGGTGTTACTACAGAAGAGTTACAAAACCAGCAACTTTTACTGGGATTGGAACCATCAGCCCGTGCACGCGGCTGCTTGTGGCCATCACATTGTCCTGCTCTCTTGCCTCCCCCCTTCCTCCTGCTGTCTGGTACACACCTTTGTGAATACTGTCAACTCTTTAACGCAGCAACTTAACTCAGTGAATGTAACATGCACAGTAATGGAGCCCCAGTCCTGATTAGTCCAAGTAGATGTCTACTGCAACAGTAAATAACAGTAATAACCTCAGATAACAAATGTAGACTACTGCTTCCCAAATCTTACTTGGAAAGCAAGGGGAAAGCAGGATGGAAGCATTTATCTGGGTCACTGAATTCAGCCTGAGGTAATTTCAGAAACTACATACACATACACTAAGTTTATGCTGGCATTAAGATTCGTTCCTTAGGCAAAGGAGGAAGAAGAGGGGCAGGGGATAAAGGAGGCCAGCATTGGTTTTTTGGTTAGATGTTCATCTGATGTTCTCAAGCCAGCAATATCCAGTACAGTTCAGCACCAGATCCTGCATCTGTTCTGGAAACTGATATTCAGCATTTCTTTTAGCTCTTTTTGCTTAAAATCCTTGTGTGAACAGCAGATAACTAGTCAGGAAAGCTGCATGGGAAACACACTTTTACTGTGTTTGCATGCATGCATGTGCACCTCTTAATAACAGGGAAACTGAGGCATGACATCAAAGTGACTCACAGAGCTATTGAAATAGTAGTAGAACCAGCATTAAACTCCTAGCTCAGTCCAAACACATGATTAGAAATGTCTCAAGCTCGGGGAGAGTGGTGGGGGGAAGAGAGGTTGTGAAACCACATCCACCTTGGGTAACATGAGAGCACTTGCTAAACTCACTGGTGCTAAAGGGGGTGCTCAGATGCCAGCCCTGTAGTTGCTTTCCCATTGCTCCCCACCAAGGAAAACACGGGACCTGAGCAGTTGCACTGTGGATGCCCAATTAAGATCAAACTCCAGCACCTTTTGTGCTTCCTGAGGAGCAGCATTAACTTGCTCTTACCGGGACAAGTATTTGCCTAAATTTCTCTCCTGCCAAAGGTGTGGTTTCTAGATCAATTTAAGCTGATCTAAAGCCAGGCTCCTCCTGAGAGAGATGTTTTCCTCTCATCCCACCCTAGCCTGGACCTTCAGCTGTTCAGCCTCACCCCTCCCCAAGGCCGGTGCTAACGCTTGCAGCCACACACAGGTCAGGAACATGATTCTGGTTTTAAAAGTAGTCTGTTTTTTTTAACCATTTATGAATTTGGTTTTGCTGAATTAATTTGCTGCTGGGTCAGTTCCTCGTTCTGACTGACTACACTGCGCTGGAACTAGGGAGGCCACAGGAATGTGCAGCTGGGGGCAAGGAGAGGGTGTCTGGGCTGGGCTGCCTTGGGTCGGCTTGAACTGGTGGTGCAAGGGCAGGCAGATGATTCAGTATCCCTCCGCTCTCCCTTTCAGTGGCAGATAAGGTGATTTCACTTTGTTCTTTGCTCCTCGGAGGCAGTTTGTTTTTCCCCAGTTTTGAGTGCTGGTACTTCCTCAAGCAGCAGCAGGGCATGGACAGTGAGATTGAAAACGTGTAAGGAAGAATGGACTGAAGAGTGGGTGTCTGCAGCCTGAATTACCTACACCTGAATAGCTTGTAGCTCACATTTGAAAACTGACTGAATTTCAGTCAGTGTCGTGCTTTGGAATGACATCAGTCTTTGAGAGAAAGAAAAGATAGTTTGGGAGGTGTGGATCCTGACTTGTTAACACCTTTGGTAACTGCTGTTGAAGCTGTATGTGATTCTATGATTTTATGTGTTGTTGGAGAAGCACCAGAGGAAAAGAAAACCTTAAAACCTCTTGATTTGACAGATTTCTTGAAAAAGTGATGTTTGAATGTGTTTCTTTCTTGGTTTGTCTGTTTAAGTGGTCTGGGGTTGGATACATCCAAGTTTGGGTACATCCGAGTTTAGATACATCCTTATTTATCACAGGATATGTTTTCTTAAAGAGGGAGCAATGCTACAACTGTATCCTGTGCTTTCACAGGAATAGTTGCAAGAGTTTATTCTTTTATAGCAGCTTTTTCTGATGCTGTTCCACCAGGTACAGCATTAACTAAGTATATGGTAGTTTGCAGTGGGGTACCACTTGTGTGTAAACAGCCCAAGAAAAATGCTTAATGAATGTGTGATGAGGTAGGGAAGCTGTTAAAAAAGCATGTGTTTTTTTTTTTTTGAATGTGAGGTGTTCAGCTCTTGACTCCAGCTTGCTTTGGGACACAACAAAGAGCAGCCTTTATTCTGCTGTGTACAGTAAAGGATGGTGCAGCTCAAACTGCAGTGGTTCAGTCCTCTGGGTTTCAGTTTTGGTTACCTTTCAAACAGAAAAGGTACAAACTGGATTGCCTTTCTCATGGACAGTGTCTTTCCCTTTCTTGCCTGCTGTGTAAACCCCGTCCTGCTTCCTGTAGGATCAGTTCCACTCAGGTTGCTGAAATATTGGCACCTTCATGTCATTGTCTTTTTCCTCCTCCTTCCTGGATCAATTAAGAAACCAGTTTTTCCTCTTACTCATCTCTGCCTCTCTTGCCTGTCCTCTCCTTCTTGCGAAGGAAAACTAAATGCTTGTGATGAAGTAATCCCTGTTTGCTGGCACTTGCTGCTTCAGATAACTTACATAAAAACAAACTCCCAATATTTCTGAGGTTCTGTGCAAGCCACATTACCAACTGAGTCAACTTTTTGATCTCTGAGTTTTGTGTGTATGCTCTTACCTGATTTTTGTTCCAATTCCTGCCACTGTGTTTGTTTGGGTGGAAGTCAGTGTAGTTGGAAGCACATATTTAGGAGATAAAGTGTCTGATTTGAAAACATGAAATGGACAAAAATGTGCAGGTTTGTGCTTGATGAATTTGGATGTGCTGCTGTCATCATCATGGACCCATGGTAAGCACATGCCAGTGGCAGAATTTGGTCATTTGCATTCAATTTTATCAGATGGACGCTAGAAAGTGTGGGTTCTGCTCAAAAGCTCCTTTCATGACTTCCTGAAAATCAGACACAAAGCATTTTTTCCTCTTTTCTGCTGAGTCAGTTTCAAGCTCCTCGCCTTCCTACTTTGATGTCCTCTTTTTAACTTTAACCATGTTTCTTTTCCATTCTGTTTTGCATCTTCTCTCATTTGTCTTGACCAAAGTGCGAGTCCTAAATTATGGCAAACCTTTTTCTTCTTCCAAATATTCCCACTAAAATAGCATGTGTTTGGGGAATTTTGAACTGTTCCTCTGGGCCCTGTGCATGCAAAGCCCTTATATAACAGAAATAATAGCATTATTATTTGTATAAGACTGTGTAATTAGCTGACATGTTTAACTGTGCTATATTGGATCATTTTTATCAAAAGTTTCTATTCATCTCCTCAGTATTATTAATGAGAACATATTCATGAATGTGAAAGTAATCGCATTATGGGTAAGCCATTAGCTCTAATCCAGGAACTTGAACAGATCTGGATTGGACTGTGCTGGTTTGGACTATACTGATTATATTATAAAAATTAAGTATTGATTCTCATTGCTACCGGTCAGAGGAGAGTCAGAAATGAAATCTGTGGTTTGGGGTTTGAAAGCACCTGGAGATGCTAGTGATAACTGAAATAGAAAATGATCTTTGGGTTTATGAGACGGGACTGCCATGCTGAACCTAATGTCTGTCAGCTGAGTAAGGTGAATAAAGTTCAGTTCTTCACTGCTCAGCATGTCAAAGGACTTCACTTTCATAGAATCATGGAACAGTTTTGGTTGGAAGAGACCTTAAAGATCATCCAGTTCCAACCCCTTGCCCTTTTATAAAACTGGATCTCTGTGGGGATTCTTTATTACTGTTTACTCCAGAGAACGTTAGAAATGAGTTCATATCATTGAAGCATTTGTAGTATTATATTAATTACAAATCTATATGTGGCTTGAATATAGACCTGTGTTATATTTTATACATGTGTGTTTGTATGTAATTGTGTATTGGTAGGAGCATGTGTATGTGTGCATACTCTGCTATATATTAATAATGCCTTTATGTAAGTAATATATTTCTGTAGCACAGATACATGCACATGAATACTGGTTGATGTGGGACCACTTTTAGGTCCATACATTGCCAGAGCAGCCCAAACAAAACTGAATTTAATTTTGTGCTATTAAATTATTCTGTGCACACTTGATTTGGTTGAAGCTTGTGGCACAAACCCAAGCATTTACTTCATTGGTACCATTGTAATCTGAATATCTGAAATCTTAGGCTTCTATTTGTGGAAAAACTGCACTGAGAATACGTTTACATGTTACTGCTGAGAGCAGATCAAAGTTGTGCTGCAGCATCTTGGAAATGTGCCTCTGAAAGTCTGCTTAGTTGTAAAGTTTTCTTATAATATACAATCATCTTTACTTATGTAGTCCATCATCAGACATACAGTATTCTTCTTATTAATATATATTTACGTATTGCAGAGTATTTTTTAGTTTTCTGCTGTTGGCATTCACTAAAGGTAGAGATGTTTGGTATTTTTACATTCAGCCATGTACAA